CCAATTTTCCAAAATATAACCATATCTTATTAATTCTTCGTTCCCTATTAATCTGTCCATTGTTTCATCTTCTTTATCATTCTCTATACAATCTCTCACGATTACTATTATTATTATCTTTAATCCTTTTTCTCTTAATACTGGTTGTTTCAAGTATCTTATCGATTCGACCATTACATCTAATGCATCTCTAGTCCTTCCTTTTGTATAATTATTTCTTTCTTCACTATCTATACTTAATAAATTTAATAACGCTCTTATAGTTTCTGCTTTATAATCTTTTATCGTATATTCAAATTTTTGCAATATTTTCCAAAATTTCTTGAAAACTTCTGGTGTATTTCTTATTGGATAACATATTTCACATGTTATATTTTCTCCTCTTAATTCGTCTATATCTACATTTCCGATATTTTCGTCATGTCTTAATTTGTGGTTTTCGTAATCAACCCTCCAAGTTTCATACCATTCCATCGTTGTAATCGTTCATCCAGAATCTTAACTAAAATCTCACCTCCTTTTATATATATATATTTCACTCTTATCGTTTCTATTTTCAATCTTCCAAACATTCTTTTATCTTTAAATAGATTGCTTCTTTCAATCTTTAAATTCCATCTTTCGGTTTTATATATTTACTATGCCATATTTTACTATTAATTTTTACTGCGCCTCAAAATTTCCAAAAATTATTCTAGGTCCACGATCTCCTCAGACTGCGGAGGTTTTTACTGCTCCACAAAGTTTATCTCTTGTCACCAAGATCCATAATCTCACATATCACATATCACAAACTCCAAAATTTTCATAACTTTTAAAGTTTGCGAATTTTCCATCTTTCTTATCGTCCACATAAATCCTTCTTACTATATATTCTATATTATATAAATTAATCTATAGTACGCAAAATGTCGTTCTTTTCAAATAAATATTCTTCTTTTCAAATAAATGTTCTTCTTTTAAATAAATATCCTTTTTAAACGAATGTCCTTCTTTCCGGATTTTATTCTATTATTAAATACTGTACGTAATGTTCATTATACGGCTCGTTAATGTGTAAATATCCTTCTATGTTATCTTCTTTCAACGGAACGTTGTAATGAAAACGTGATTTAGCACACTACACCAGGATCCTCATCTGAAATGTAGCCTAAAGCCTGTAACAACACAACATATCCATCTTTTCTTCTTTCGTTGGCTGACTCGTCTCTTAACGGGTGAATCTAACCTTCCAAAATCCAGTTTCAAAAGTCATCAGCTATCCATAAAACTCATCTAAACCAACTTATCTTTCCTCAAATTGGTGGACCTATACTGGTCTTATCTCTATCTTTTTCCCATTGGGTAAAAGCATGATAGTTTACAGGTTTGTCCTATTTTATTCTTTCAATGTTTCTTGATAGTAGGTGTCTTTACAATTTTCTTTTCCCGTCCCCAAAGCAATTTGCGCATTATTGAGCTGGGTATCCAGATTTGACGTAACCCATACGTTATAATCCTTAATGTCGAAGAATAAAAATTTTCCAATCTTGAGCATTTATCCAAAATTCAAGCTTAGAGGTAACCCATACTACACAGATGAACCCCAGATAATACATTGGTGTTCTCCCATTATTAATCTTTATTCCAAAATTCATCTTTCGCTTCTACATCTCCTTATAAAATTTCTCAGGTACTTTATTCCCGAAAGAAATATTCTTGTGCTTTCTATCGATTAAATGATTACTTGCACAACAACAAACTCCAATCTTTCACCTTTTCAAGTTTCTAACTCGATTAAATCCTTATTGATTTATTGGTTCCTTTTGAACTCGTTAAAACCTGAAATCTAAAAATAAATTCTAAAATAAAATATTGATTAATAATACCTATCAGTGACTTACTAACGAAATTAAATTTTCATATTCATTATAAT